CCGTCCCTCAGGTCACCATCCTGGAGGCCTCCAACAGGATCGGGGGCCGCATCCTCACCTACCGGCATGAGAAGACGGGCTGGATCGCGGAGATGGGAGCCATGCGCATCCCCACGTCACACAGGTGAGGCCTGGCCCGGCTCCGGCGGGCCCTGCTCTGGGCGCAGCCTCCCAGTCCGTTCTCTTCCTCGTCCCAGCCCCACCACAGCGCCCCGGGGGTGCTCCAGCCGCCAAGTCCTGCTGGACCCCTAGCTAGCCCCGCCCGGTGCCTCTGGACCCCCAGCTCTCCCTCCCCGGACCCGGGTCCCTTCCCCATCCTCCCGAGCCTTCATCCAACCCCAGCGAACGCCACCTCCCTCTCCAGACCCCGTCCCACACCCGGACTGCCCTCAGCCTTCCGGCCTGGCCCCGTTGCATTCCTGCCCCTGCTGCCCCCAAACCGGGCCCCGTTCCAGCCTCATGCCCACCCCCAAACCTTGTCCCCAGCTGCCCTGCCCACCCCCTTCCGTCTTCAAGCCCCAGGGGAAGGGGAACCCCGCCACTCCCCGCCGGACCGCCCAGCCTCTCCTGCTCCCTCAGGATCCTGCATGAGCTCTGCCAGAGCCTGGGGCTCAACCTCACCAAGTTCATCCAGTACGACGAGAACGCGTGGACCCAGGTGGGCGACGTGAAGCTGCGGAACTACGTGGTGGAGAAGATGCCAGAGAAGCTGGGCTACGACCTGCGCCCCCGGGAGAAGGGCCTCGCGCCCGAGGACATCTTCCTGATGGCTCTCGGCAAGGTGGGCGCCCCCTCAGCGTCCCTCCGCCAGCCTTTCCTTCTCCCCCTCCTGCCATCCGCTCGCCCGCCGCCGGCTCTCCCACCTTTACTTTCCCTGCAAACTCCGTCACCCCGTGTTCTCTGACCCCCTCCCCGCCCTCCAGCCGCTCGCTGTCCTGGACAACCTCGCCTCCTTCCAGCTGTGGCTTAAACTTTGATCTGCAGCCAGATGTCTTCCAGACCCATCTCCTGAGTCCCACATCCATTCTGTCTCCCCCTGGCCGCACCCAGGATTCTGATACCGAACCCCTATCTTCCTCTGAGCCCTCTCCTACTCCCGTTTCCCCACGTCACAGTAGCCCTGGCCCCAGCTTGGGCCTCACCCTCTCCTCTGGCTCCTGCCAGTCCTGCCTGGAAGACGCCTTTCCCTCCCCTTCCCCCAGAGAACCATGTTTATCCCTCAAGAACCAACTCCAGTGCCCCCTCCTCCAGGAAGCCCTCCCTGATGCCCTCAGGGAGGAGCTGGCCTTCCCCTTCTCGGGCAGTGGCTAATTGTCCATCTCCCCTTCCAGAGGAGGGCGGGTGCTGAGTTCAGGCCATGTCTGTGTTGGCACCTCCCAGTTCAGCGAGCCTAGAGAAATGCGAGGGGATGGTGAAGGGGTGAGGGAGGAAGGGCACAGGGGGAAGCCAGGTGAGCAAAGAGGGCAGAAATCAGAGGAGGCGGTGAGATGAGACTGGAGCAGAGCGGCGAGGGAGGTTAGCCAGGGGGACAGCGCAGGGGAGTGGAGGTGGGAGAGCTGAAGGTGGTCTGGGCACTGGATATTGTCCTTAGAGCCAGAGCTTCCTTAAGAGATGGCGATCAGGGGCTGGTAGGGGCCTCGGATGCCAGACTGAGGGGGTCAAATACTGTGGCTGCAGGTGCTGGGACCCCTGGGAGGCTATGGGCAGGGGAGGGACCCCCTCAGCAGTGGCAGAAGGAATTCCACTTTCTTTTCTTCTTTTTTTAAAAATATTTTTTACAGAGAGGAAGAGAGAGGGATAGAGTTAGAAACATCGATGAGAGAGAATCATCGATGAGCTGCCTCTTGCACACCTTCTACTGGGGATTGTGCCCGCAACCAAGGTACATGCCCTTGACTGGAATCGAACCCGGGACCTTTCAGTCCTCAGGCTGATGCTCTATCCGCTGAGTCAAACTGGTTTCGGCAGGAATTCCACTTTCATCTGCGCCCTGAGTGAACCAGGAGGTAGTGGCTGGGCACAGAATGCCAGCACTGAGTGAGGCTGTCCCTGCCCGCACGAGCCACGCCTGGGACAGAGGCAGGCGAAACGGTGCCCGCCCGGCCGAGCCTGGCAGTGCCAGGTGCCGGGGAGGGAGAGGCATCCGGACTCAGGAAGACGTCCCAGAGTGACCTCTGAGCAGCGGCGGAGGGCAAGGCTGGGCACAGCATGGGCAAAGGCCTGGCAGTGCGGGCACGCGTGGTGAAGGCCAGCCATGAGCAGGAGCAGGAAGAAAACCCAGATCCGACGCCAGGCCCAGCGCCCGCCGTCCTGCCCCTCAGTGCAATGCCATCTGCTTGTTCCCTGCAGGCCGTCAACGATGTCAAGACACTGGGCTGCAAAAGGGCCATGAAGAAGTTCGACAGGCAGACACTCCTGGTGAGCCTTCCTGTCTGAAACCAGCACCAGCAGGGCCCCGTGGCTTTGGCCCTGGGGTCAAAGGGCAGGATCCCGGAACACAGCTCCGGCGACCTTCGGGCCTGGCCATGGGGCTGGCCATGCCCCCTCTCGGGGCTTCCGTGCCCTCATCTGTCACAAGAGGAGGGGGGACCGGATCTCTAAGGTCCAGGGACCCTATTAAGCTCTCCGCGCATCTCGGAACAGGGTGGCGAGCCGGGAGGGACCCTGCAGGTGCAATGCCCGGGCCCTGACCTGCCCCCGTCCCCCAGCAATACCTCCTCAACGAGGGGAACCTGAGCCAGCCCGCCATCAACCTCCTGGGGGACGTGATGTCCAAGGACCGCTTCTTTGATCGCAGCTTCTTGGAGGCCCTGCGGGCCCACAGTTTCCTCAGCGATCGGCTGCGGTGAGGGGCGGGGCCTGCAGTGAGGGGCGGGGCCTGCGGGCCAGTGGGGGAGTGACAGAGTGGTGGGGGCCACAATATTGGGCAGGTGGGGCTGGGAGAAGGTTGCAGCTTTTAGGGAGAAGGGGCCACGTTCACCCACACATCCGGGGTCTGGAGGAAATGGGTAAGAAAGGTTCCAGAAGGGCGTGGCCCAGACAGAAGAGGCGGGGGTTCTTGAGTCGCCTAATTCTGTGCTTTCCAGCCCTCGGCCTTGGGGTGGGAGAGGGGGAGAAGGGAGGGGGTGGGATTCTCGGGGAGCAAGCAGATGCCAGTTGTGGGCCAGGAATAGTGTGGTTGGAGGGAGGGCTCCGGGCAGGTGAGCTCTAGAACAGGTACCGGGAGCGCACAGAGAGGGGCCAGCGGAAAGGAGCGGGCGAGAGCGAGCCCAGGTCATGCTCCCCCCCACCCCCCGCACCCTCCCCCCCAGGTACCGCCGCGTGGAGGGCGGCTGGGACCTGCTGCCGCGCGCCCTGCTGAGCACGCTGTCCGTGCCCATCCTGCTGAGCTCGCCGGTCGTGGCAGTGACGCAGGAGACGCACAAGGTGCACGTGCACGTAGGGACCTGGCACCGGGCCCGGGACCAGAAGACCATGGCGGCCGACGTGGTGCTGCTGACGGCCACCGGGCCCGCGCTGCAGCGCATGAGGTTCTCGCCGCCGCTGCCCCGCAAGTGGCAGGAGGCGCTGCGCGGGCTGCACTACGAGCCGGCCATCAAGGTGTACCTGAGCTTCCGCCGGCCCTTCTGGCACGACGAGCACATCCAGGGCGGCCACTCCAACACCGACCACCCGTCGCGCGTGATCATCTACCCGTCGCCAGGGGAGGGCTCGCTGCTGCTGGCCTCGTACACGTGGGGGGATGCCACGGCCCCGTTCGCGGGCCTGAGCACGGAAGACACGCTGCACCTGGCGCTGGAGGACGTGGCGGCGCTGCACGGGCCCATCGTGTACCGGCTCTGGGACGGCACCGGCGTGGTCAAGCGCTGGGCAGAGGACCCGTACAGCCACGGCGCCTTCGTGGTGCAGCCGCCCACGCTCTGGCGCGCCAAGGAGGGCTGGGAGGAACTGGACTGGGCGGTCCCCTACGGGCGCATCCACTTCGCCGGGGAGCACACCGCCTACCCGCACGGCTGGATGGAGACAGCCGTCAAGTCCGCGCTGCGCGCTGCGCTCATCATCAACGGCCAAAGGCTCCGCCAGGCCGGCAGCCAGGAGGAGTCCGTGCGCGGGGAGGAGGCTCGGCACACGGAGGCTCCGCACAGGGAGAAGTCCCTGCACACGGAGGACGAGGAGACCGTGCGCATGACCGAGGGCCTCGTGGACTGCCAGCCCGTGGGCAAGTCTCAAAGGGCGAAGACCATCAACCCTTCAACCCTGCCCGGGACGGCCACTCCCAGCGCCAACAGCCAGATGACGGGGCATTAAATTATTTTCAGAAAAAGCCTGTGGTCCTGCCGCGTCCCTGGCTCAGTCGCCTCCCCACTTTGCTTTGAGCAAAGCCATGCGCCCAGGGGAGAAGGGGCTCCGCCTTCTCTGGGGGAGGACGACGCTGCTTCCAGCCCCTGGTCCCTGTGGGGCTCGATGCTCGATGCCAGTCACAAAAGGCCAGGCCAACAGTGGATCAAACACGAGTTTATTTTCCTCAAGTACCACAAGGCTGGGAGGCAGGTCCTCGGTGTACGAGCAGCTCTGTAGGCCCTTCCGTCCCAGTTACGTCCAGGCTGTACCCCAGCACCCCATCCTCACTCCTCCCTCCCCAAGCCTCTCCCCCCACACCACTCATCCCCGAGGGACCTCCTCTTAAGTCTCATTGGCTGGGGGTGGGGTCCACGTCAAACTTAAGTCTCATTGGCTGGGGGTGGGGTCCACGTCAAACCACTGCTCTGCAGTGGTCAGAGGGGAGCACGCACCACCCCTGCCCTCCCTACACCTACAGGAGGCCCACTGGACACGGAAATGTCAGTTAATGAAGCCGGAAATCAGGAGGCGGGGCGGGGAGGCGAGGCGGAGCCCCGCCCCTCTGCTGGCTCCACCCCCAGCCCGAGGGCGTGGCCACGGCGGAGCGGTAAAGTGCGGTGCCACTGGGCAGGCTGCAGCCAGGCCGGCCGGCCCGGCCCCTAGGAGCCCACGCCGTCCTCTTCCTCCTCCGGCAGGATCTCCAGGCTGCTGTCGGGCTGCGCAGCCGGGTCCGCGGGGAGCGGCGGGGCCGGCGGGGTGCGGGTGGGCGACAGCGGCAGCGGGGAGGCGGGCGGCGAGGGGCTGTGCGGCGCTGCGGGCGGGGCCAAGCCCAGGACCTCCTGCACGTTGTGGGGCAGCTCCTGGAGGTCGGGAGGAAGCCAGGTCAGAAGTCTGAGGGGCGGGAGCGGGGCTGTTGGGAAGGTGGGGGACTCACCGTGCAGGCGGTCAGCTGCCGGTAGAGGGCCTCGGCCCTGGTCAGTACGTCCTCCACGCTCAGCTTCATGGTCAGCTCGTTGATGTGCTGAGGGAGGGGGGAAGGGGGGCTGGGTCAGGCCCGCCTCTGGGCTCTCAACCCGCACCTCCTGAGCGCCCACTGTGCCACCCACCGGAGGGAAGACAGCCAGGCTGGCCCTCTTGGGCTCACAGTGTAGCTGGGGGTCAGGGGAGGTCAGCTCTCCTGGCTTCTTGCCAGATGCAGGATCAGAAGGGAAAGAGTGCTGAGCTCCCCCCAGTGGCCTGGCCGCGGGTTGGGGTGCTGAGGAGCCCACAAGCACAGCCCACGGGCTCCGTGAGGACATGGCAGGGCCGGGGAGGGGGCCCTGGGCTCAGGGCCACCCTGCTCAGAGACTCAACAATCCTGTTTTGAGTCCCGACTACTGCAAAGAACCCGAGTTCCCTTCCGGCCTCTGCGTCCCGTCTGGCAGGTCAGGACGGGCAGGGGCGGCCTCACCTTGAGGATCTCATTGGAGCCGAAGCCGGAGAGCATGAGGGTGTCCCGCTCCATGTCCAGGATGGCGCAGGCCACCAGCAGGTGCAGGTTGGGGCCCGGGAGCCCTGTCCACAGCACCTAGGAGCCGGAGGGAGGGTCGCAGGCCAGTCTCCGCCTGCGGTCCTACCCAGGCCTGCCCCTGCCCTGCCCGCCTCCCACAGCCCCCACCCAGGCCCACGGCCCGCCTCCCACAGCCCCCACCCACGCCCGCAGCCCGCCTCCCACAGCCCCCACCCAGGCCCGAGGCCCGCCTCCCACAGCCCCCACCCACGCCCGAGGCCCGCCTCCCACAGCCCCCACCCACGCCCGTGGCCCGCCTCCCACAGCCCCCACCCAGGCCCGAGGCCCGCCTCCCACAGCCCCCACCCAGGCCCGAGGCCCGCCTCCCACAGCCCCCACCCAGGCCCGAGGCCCGCCTCCCACAGCCCCCACCCAGGCCCGAGGCCCGCCTCCCACAGCCCCCACCCAGGCCCGAGGCCCGCCTCCCATAGCCCCCACCCAGGCCTGTCCCTGCCCTGCCCGCCTCCCACAGCCCCCACCCAGGCCCGAGGCCCGCCTCCCACAGCCCCCACCCAGGCCCACGGCCCACCTCCCACAGCCCCCACCCAGGCCCGAGGCCCGCCTCCCACAGCCCCCACCCAGGCCCACGGCCCACCTCCCACAGCCCCCACCCAGGCCCGAGGCCCACCTCCCACAGCCCCCACCCAGGCCCACGGCCCACCTCCCACAGCCGAAGAACGTCCAGGAAGGGGAACTCCCTCTTGAACCAGATGAGCAGCCACCGGAAGCAGAAGCAGAGAGAGCCAGAGTCCTGGGAGTCTGGAGGAGGACAGCGTGGAGGGTGGTGCTAAGCCCACAGCAAGCTCACGGCCAGTGCCCGCCCCGTTCTCATCCGCAGTGTGCCCGTCGGACTGCGCTGAGGACCGGCTGTGAGACCCTGCCAGCCTGCCCAGCGGGGAAGCCTCCGGGCTCAGGCAGGGGAGGCTGTGTCCACAGGACCCTCCCCTCCCGTCTCCAAACCCCGGCGAGGTGAGTGTCCAGGTCTCCCGCTCGCACACGGAGGGAGGGACAGGGAGACCCAGCGCCGGGGGAGGTGTGAGGAAACGCCGAGGAAACACGGAAATGGGTATAACTTCCAGGAAAGCAGCGATGGGGCAGGCGTTTCAAAAGCTGTAAAAACATGGACTGCCCGAGATACAATTTCACTCCCTGCAATTTTGCCTAAAGAAATTACCCAGACTCTATCTGTCACGATGAAAAACTGCAAATGGCCAAAACCGGTTTGGCTCAGTGGTAGAGCGTCGGCCTGCGGACTGAAAGGTCCCAGGTTCGATTCCGGCCAAGGGCATGTACCTTGGTTGTGGGCACATCCCCAGTAGGGGGTGTGCAAGAGGCAGCTGGTCGATGATTCTCTCTCATCAATGATTCTCTCTCTATCCCTCTCTCTGTAAAAAAATCAATAAAATATATTAATAAAAAAAAAAAAGAGAAAAAACACAAATGTGCAGGTCAGATCCAATCTGTTCTTGTACATCATCTTAAACCAGTAAGAGGGACAGAACGCTGAGTGGCCCATACAGCCATGGCTCGGAACATTTTTAATGGCCCTGCCGGGCTGGCTCACTTGGCTGGGCGTCATCCTGTGCACCAAAAAGGTTGCTGGTTCGAGTCCCAGTCAGGATACATGCCCAGGTTGCAGGCTCAGTCCCTGGTAGGGGGCTTGCAGGAGGCAGCCAATCAAGGTTTTGCTCACACCAATGTTTCTCGCTCTTTCCCTCTCCCTTTCTCTCTCTTATAAAACAAAGTCAGTGAGAAAATCTTTAAAAGAAACTTTTTGTTGCCGTTATTCCTTACCTGAGGATATTTTTCCCATAGATTTTTTTGAGAGTGGAAGGGAGGAGGAGAGACAGAGAGAAAAACATTGATGTGAGAGAGAGACATCCATTGGTTGCGTCCCACACTTGCCCGACCAGGGCTGGGTGTCAAGCCTGTGCCGCCCGGCTAGGGCCAAAAGAAACTTTTTTTTTTTTAAAGCCCGCAACCTGGGCATGTGCCCTTGACCGAAATCGAACCCAGGACCCTTCAGGCCAAAGGCCGATGCTCCCTCCATCCACTGAGCCAAACCGGCCAGGGCGACCAAAAGAAACTGTTAATGACACAGAGGCAGCTCATGTCCGGTGTCTCCAGGCCTCGGCTTCCTTCCAATTCATCCCCCGCCAAGGGGAGCCTACACTTCAGGGAAGAAATACCCGGAAGTTAACTTACCGTCTGCACCAAACGAATACTACCAACAGCAACTTCTTCCTTTTATCTGAATTCCCTGCACTTTTCTACCCTGAACAAACACCAGGAAACACTTTCAGGCCGGAACGCAGCAGCAGCCCCAGTTCCAGGCCGGGTTTAAGAACCAGTGTCCAAGCCCGGGTTCAAGGTGGGGGGAGCCAGACGGGCCTCAGGAACCGGGACACCTGCACTTGGAGGTTTGCTCCACGCCCAGCCCTGCTCTCACAGGGAAGCTTTGGGCTCTGGCTTGTGCCGGGTGTTTCTCTTTTTGGGATCAGGACCAAACGGACACCGTCTGTGGCTGCTCATTCCCGGGGACGCCTCTGTCCCCGCCGCCCCTGCCCGCACCGGGGCCCGCACGTACCCAGGAAGTCGCAGAGCGGCGGGTCCAGCACCCGGAGCAGCAGCAGCAGCTGCCCGAGCTGCCGCTTCATGGTCTCCTGGCTCTCCTCGAAGTTTCCGTGCTGCGGGGGAGGCAGTGGGCGTCGCCCCCTGTCCGTCCGCCCGGGCGCCCCCCCCCCCCCCGCCCCGCCCCGCCCCGCGCCCCGCCCCGCCCCGCCCCGCGCCTCACCACGAGCTCCATGAAGCCGCAGAAACACCAGAAGGCGTCCACCTCGTTCTGGACGACGTAGAGGATCGGGGAGAGGAGGTCGCTCATGCCCTGGACGTAGCCTGTGGGGACAGGAGGTCAGGCCGGCCCGGGCCCGGCCCCCAGGGGGCGCCCCCCCACCCCCCCCGCGGGCGCCCACCGAGGTCGAAGTGGTACATGCAGTAGGTGAGCAGGATGTCGTGCAGCAGGCCCAGCCCCGGGTTCTCGGGCCCCTCGTAGAACTTGTTGGTCCTGTCGGTGCGGCTCACGTCTCTCTCTGCGGGGACAGGGGGCAGGGCAAAGGGGAGGGCTCTGTGGGGGCCCCATTCCTGCCCGGGCCACTGGCCGCAGCCCCCTCTCCGCTCTCCCCTCGCAGGTGTGGGCCAGTCCCCGACCTCCTGACACTGGAGTGAGGTCTGCGTCACGCTGGCCGCACCCTCTGGCACCATGGTTACCAGCCGGGCATCGACGGGAAACTGAGGCCCAGGGTAAAACCACTTGCCAGATCTCGCGGTGAGTGTGTGGCAGAGCCTGGCTCTCCTCCTTCTCCCCGGCCTGCCCCGGCCCCCACCCCCTCGGTGCCCTCACCCTGCTCCTGGGGAGGCGGGGCTCCCCGGCCCCCAACCCACCAATGAGGCTGCGGTATCCGTGCAGCAGGGAGTTTCTCCGCTCCTGCTCGGGGCTCACCGACTTCCACTGCAGCTTCATCCGGAAATACTCATCCCTGAGGGCAGGCGGGCTGCGTGAGGCGCCTGCCACCTCCTCAGTCCGCCGGGCTCAGCCCGGTCACCGCCCCAGAGCCCTCCCTGACCTGGCAGACCCTCCCCCCCGTGGGCTCTGGTGGGAGGTCTGTCAGCACCACCGGGTGGGGACCAGGACGCACAGCAGGGGCACAATATATACAAGGAACAGGGAGAGGCCCACAGCTTAGGAGGCAGAGCAGCCACCGCGGAGACAGGGTGGCACCAGGACAAGCCAGTGGAGGGACAGGCCCAGCCCATCTGTCTCCCCGTGCACAGGTGCTGCCACTCCAGCGGGCCCGGGCCGGTGCCGGCGCCCTGCTGGCCGATCAGAGCGCGCCCATCGGCGGGGAGGCGGCCGGGCGGTCACTCACGTCTTCCTCCGCACGTGCGCCTTGTGCTCCTCGGCGGAGCCCCCCCAGCTGAGGTAGCCGAGCAGGAACTTCCAGGCCTCTCGCCTCAGGCTGGGGCTCAGACCCTGCGGGCGGGGCGGCAGGAGCTCAGAGGGGGCCCCGGGCCACCTGCCAGCCCGGCCCAGCCCCCCACAAGCCCAGCGCTCACCCCAGAGAAGATCCGGGCTCTCAGCTCGGGGACCCGCTGCAGGCGGCCCTCGGGGCCCACGTGGCGGGCCCACTCCTCCTCCGTGACCGGGGGCGCCCGCTCCACGGCCGGCCGCGGCCCCAGCTCCACCTGCGGGACGCCACGGGAGCCCGTCTGAGGGACCCCACGGTCCTCCCTACCGCATCCGGGCCCCTCTTAGCTCAACAGCCAGTTAATGTTCGGGGTGGGACGGGAAAACACTCCGCCTGGGTCAGGGACAGAGTCACCCCGAGTCTGAAGGGCCCCCCATAACAGCCAGCACCAGGAGCACAGGCCGCGGGCGGTGCATTACTGTCACCCCTCCTCTGGGGGCGGAACTGAGGCTGGGAAATGCAGGCCCGGGGCCAAGGTGACAGCGTAGTAAGGGGTCGCCCGCTACTCACACAGGAAATGACCTCGAACCCCGGCTCGGGCTCGTCCTCGGGGCCCGGGTGCAGGTCGCGGGGGGCGCCCTCCGGGTGCGGCTGCAGGGCGCCCCGGAAGAAGTTGGTCACGCGCGAGAAGCTGTTGAAGGTGGTGGAGTAGGGGTCCTGGAGGAAGCGCTGGGGACAGGGGGGCTGGTCACACTCCGCCCGCCCTCCGGGCACAGCCCCCTCCGGGCACCGCCCCCTCCGGGCACAGCCCCCTCCGGGCACCGCCGCCGCCGGCGCTCACCGACACCACGTTGGAGCTGTCCTGGTCGAAGAGCTGCAGGTGGTGGAAGGAGCTGGAGAGCGCGGAGGAGTCGTGCGGGAAGACGAGGTAGAGGCGGGAGTCCTGCGGGGAGCTGGGGGAGGGGCGCATGGAGCGGCCTGCAGTGTCCCGCCGCCTTCCAGGCGAGGGCCCGGACCGCTACTGGGCCCTCCCCGTCCCGGCCCGAGGCCACAGCTGGACCCCGGGGCGGGCACGGCCCGGGGCGGTGGGGGCCTTCCCCCTCCCTGGTCAGGGGACGAGGTGCTGTCTGTCTGTCCACCCCGCTGCCAGCCGGGCTGCTGGGCCCTGAGGTGAGAAACCCAGAGGGAAGCAGACCGGGCTCCCCAGCTCCTGGGCCCGGGCCTGCCTGACACCAACCCTTGGACTTAACGGTTTCCCGTGCCAGTCAAGGCCCTCTTCCTGCCTTTACCGGGTTTGAGTTGACCCCTCCAGCTCCGAGGGCCCTGCAGCCGGAGCGGGGCGGGGCCTGCGAAGGGCCGCTCACCTGGCCAGCAGCAGGTAGCGGCTGAGGACGCGGAGCAGGGCGCGGGTGCCCCCGCGGTGGAAGTGCAGGGCGGGCAGGGAGCCCCCGGCCTGGGTCACCAGCACCAGGTAGGCCCAGCTGAGGCCCGGCTTGGAGCGGCGGATGGATTTGAGCTCCCCCAGGCTCACCCAGAAGGCCCAGGAGTCGCGGTGGCAGCTGGGCTCGGCACCTGGGGGTGGCACCGCGTCAGGCGAGGTGTGGGCAGCCAGAGGGGCACATGTCCTGAGCTCATGGGGGACAGCCTCAGGCCCCACCCACGGGGAGCTGTGGGTCACTTCACGTTTCCATGGAAACACAGACTAGATGTGAGCAGAGCCCAGCCCGGGGGCCATGTGCCTGCTGCAGGTGGGCTCCCTGTCGCCCTCGGGATGAAGACCAGACTCCTTGGTCCACTCCTGCTGTGTCACCTCCCTCTCCTCACTCAGACCCACCCTGGAGCCACAAGGAAAGGCCAGTGCCCCCACGCCGGGTGCCCCCTGAGCCAGGCTCTGCCCTGCCGCTTCCTGGAAGGGTCCTCACCCCGCTGCAGCACCCCGATGGCCTAACAACCGTCACCTGCAATTCTCGTCCCCACGGCCTGAACGCACCGGGGTGCCCCCGGCCAGCCAGGGAGCGTGGCCGAATAAGCCAGGCTGCAAACCCTGGAGACGCTGGCCACCCCACCCACTCTCCCGAGACCGGAAGGCCGGCGGGGTGGCCATCTTGACTGTGGGCAGTGAAGCCCATGGCGCCATGCCAACGGAGAGTAAGGTGTCACCATCTGCCCCCAGGCATCAGCTCAGCCTACCCCCGGCAGAGGGCTCTGAGCGGCGGGGCCGGGGCCGCACAGTGCTGATGACGGCCCAGTCGGGCTCATAGCCGGGGTCGAAGCTTGGCTCGTCCTCAGAGGCGCAGGAGTCCCCTCCACCGGCATCCTTGGGGAAAAGGGGAAAGAGAGGGGCCATGAGGCTCTCCTGGAAGTAGCCCCGTTGCACAAGGAGGAAAACTGAGGCACAAAGGGGGCGCTGAGGACTGGGACGGGGCCAGGACCCACGCCAAGTGTCCCGGTGGCTCGCCGGGCGAGCAGGTGGTCCAGCGGGGCAGCTGGGCGTGACTGCTGAGGTCTCGTGAGGAAGCGGGCAGTGCTCACCAGGGCAGCCCCAGGCAAAGCCTCAGACCCCGCGTGCCCACCGGGCCGGCTGTGCCCACCGGGCCGGCTGTGCCCACCGGGCCGGCTGTGCCCACCGGGCCGGCTGTGCCCACCGGGCCGCCTGTGCCCACCGGGCCGGCTGTGCCCACCGGGCCGGCTGTGCCCACCGGGCCGCCTGTGCCCACCGGGCCGCCTGTGCCCACCGGGCCGGCTGTGACAAAGATGATGCTGTGGGGGGGGGGAGGGGGGGGAGCAGCAGCCGCAGGGAAGCCTGCAGTTCCTCCAAGGGTGCGACGTGGATTACCGTGTGACCCAGCACCTCCGCTCCTCGGCACGACCCCCAGAGAAGCGAAAAGAAACGTCCATGCGAGAGCACGGACGTCACTCCGGACAGCCGGGAAATGCCAACCACCAGTGCCCACCAGCTGGTGAGGAGCCACAGCGTCGGAGCCACGCGACGGAGCCACGCTCCGGTCCACGCCAATGAACCTCTAAAGCCAGACACCCAGGACAGGGCGGCGGTCTGCGATTCCCTCTCCAGGAGGCGGCAGAGCGGGCAGGTCTGGGCACCGAGGGGGGTGGCGGCCGCCAGGAGCTGGGGGCGGGGGGGGGGGGGCGGCTGCGGACAGCTGGAGGGTTTCTGTGTGACACTGGCTATGGCTGCAAAATCTCGCGAAGACTAAAACCCACTGCTTCATGCATGTTGAAAGTCTTAAATTCTACCCTAGAATTGAGTTTGTGGTAAGTAAGTTCTGTCTTTATAAAAGAAGAAAAGAGCTGGCTCACAGGTTATGAAAATAACATGAGGGGTGACGTTAGGATCATGGCGACAGGAGGGCCCCCTGGTCTCCCCTGGAAGGCTGAGCGCTTCCCCGCGGGGAGGCATCGAAGGCGGGTGAGATGGAAGGACGGGGAAGAGGGGAGGAAGAGGAGCCGAGATGGGCCATGGATGTGGGTCTCGGGAGGGGAGGAGTCCGGGGCCCCTGCCCTCCCTGCGGACCAAGGTGCAGACACACAGGTGTGTTCCCTGCCTGCACCGTCAGGACCTGCTGCTGCTGCAGCCGAGCCCAGTGACCCAGTCACAGTATTTGGCAGCCACTACTGCCAAACAAAGCCACAAGCTGGCCGCCTCCCCGCCGAGAGCCAGAGGCTGTAGCATTGAGCATCAGGCTACGGAGCACTTTATCTGCAGCCCTGAACACTGGGGAGGCCCATGGCTGATGTGGCTCGGTTGGCTGGGCATCGTTCTGTGCACTGAAAGGTGGCCAGTTCGATTCCCGGTCAGAGCACCTGCCGGGGATTGCAGGCTTGATCACCTCGAGGTGAAGGAGGCAGCCAATCGATCTCTCCCTTGCATCTAAATTTTTCTTCTCCTTCTCTCTTCCTCTCTCTCTCTAAAAATCATTTAAAAAAAAAATATATATATATATTATTGATTTCTTACAGAGAAGAAAGGAGAAGGATAGAGAGTTAGAAACATCAATGAGAGAGAAACATCTATACAGTTGCCTCCCGCACACTCCCCTCTGGGGATGTGCCCGCAACCAAAGTACATGCCCTTGACCAAAATCAAACTTGGTACCCTTGAGTCCACTGAGCCACACCGGTCAGGGCCTAAAAATCAAATTTTTAAAAAATCAAAAGAAAAAAAAAGAGAGAGAGAAGCATCTTTCCCTAAGCAGGAGGCGCACACTGTGGCTAATCCCAGTGATGGGTGGAGACAGAGGTGAGGCAACTGGGGTCGGGCTGCTGCCATTACTGGGAGGACAAACCTCAGCCACACCAGCTGACCTCTCCAGCGTCACTCCGCCCCCACCCATCACCGCTGTACTGCTGGCAGCATCTGCTGCAGGGGACAGCGCTGGGATTTCATGGGTCTGGGGAACCCCACCGCCACATTCCCCCACAGAGAGGGTGCCCTGAGACAGAGGAGGCGCCCGTTCTGAGCAATCCTGAGAAAAAAGAACAAAGCCCAAAGTATCACACTCCCTGACCTCGGATTATACCACAAAGAGACAATAATCAAAATGGCACGGTACTGGCAGAAAAACAGATACACAAACCAATGGAACAGAACTGCGATCCCAGAAATGAAGACACATGTGTATGAGCAAATCATTTTGACAAAGGAGCCAAAACACATCCAATGGAGAAAAGAAATCCTCGTCAATGAATAGCGCTGGGAAAATCAGAAAGCCCCAAGCAAAAGAATGAAACTTGACTGTTATCTGTTATCTGTCACCATAGACAAAATAAACGCAAAATGGATCAAAGACTTATATATTAAGACCTAAAAACTACATTTCCCAGACTCCCTTACAACTAGAGTGCCAAACACAGATACGTTAAGATCTGGAAAGTGGAGATTAGGTGAGGGTAACTTCCTGCCACCTGGGCCATGTTACACTGATGAGCGAGGGGGCGGAGAGGCCTCTGACTTCACCTTCCTGTTCTCAGAGAGGCAGCTGGGGGCGGGGGGGGGGGGGGGAATAGCTCAGTCTTCCGGGGCCCAGTCACTCGCTTTGTAGCAGCGCTGATGACGGTGTCCTTGAACTCCACAGCTCCAGTGCTGTCCCCTTTGCCACAGCCCTCATTTGGCAGCGGCGGCCGCCCCCTTGCAGGTGAGTTCTGAAGCGTCAGTGCTGTTCCTCCCGCCCTGGTGGAATCCCGCCAGCCTCCGCTTCTCTGCGCATCACCCTTGCTGCTAAAGAAATTGGAGACTAACTCCTGCCACCAACCCTGTGTGACTAGAGCAATGACAGCAAAAGGACGCAGATGGGTCTCCTTGGAGCTGAACGAATCCCGAAAGCCCGTCTTCCCTCCTGCTGAAGCCCACCCGGTGGGTTTGCCATTTGGAAGTAAGAGTGCCAAGGACAACAGTATTCTCTAGAACACGCAGACTGCCTTCCAGGTGGGTGACAAATGCAAAACCCTGCTCGCTTCTGCCCCAACTCCCTGGGGGGCCGGCGCCTGTGATCTCCATTTGTACCCGGTCATTTGATTTTTTACAGAGAGGAAGGGAGAGAGATTTAGAGTTAGAAACATCGATGAAAGAGAAACATCGATCGGCTGCCTCTGACACCTCCTACTGGGGATGTGCCCGCAATCAAGGTACATGCTCTTGACCGGAATCGAACCTGGGACCCCTGAGTCCGCAGGCCGACGCTCTATCCACTGAGCCAAACCGGCTAGGGCCCCCACCAAGTCATTTGAAACCCCATGGCCCCAGCTGAAGCTTCCTCCTCTCTCCCTGCCACCCTGCCCCCTCCCTGATCTTCTAGCCTCCAATCTCCCTCCATTTGGTCCTTTGGCCCAACTCCCGCATCCCCCACCAGGGACTTCCTACACGCACACCTTTCTCCTCCCCCTGTTGTCCCCCAGCACCCCCGGACAGGATCCAAGCTTCGGAGCCTAGCATTTCAAGCCCAACCACCAAACCTTTCCAGCACACCCCTCTGCAGAGACATACCCCACCCCGAGCCGAAACCCACTTCCTCCCACCCCTCCTCGTCTCCAGAATCCCAGCCCCGTGTCTGCTCCGCAGGGAGGAGCAGGGCTCTTGGACCAGCGTCCTTGGGTCCAAACACAAGTTCCAACAACCTCCTGGCTTTTAAACCTTGGAAAGGGGCTTCCTCTCCCTGTGCCTCACTGTCTCAGAAACAGAATGGTGATGAGGGCGTAGGCAGGGCCTGGGCGGGACTGGTGTCTGGGTGCCCACCCCGGCCAGCACAGGGCCTGGCAAGGAGGAGCCCCAGGAGACACATACTGAGGTCCCGACCTGGGGGAGAAAAGGGGGCCACGGAGGGGGCGAGTCCTGTTCCCTCCACGGACATGACGGCAGGGCCGCCCACACTTCAGGTTCTTATGGGCCAACAACCCTGCAACCCCAATCCACAGGCCCAGTTGTGTCTTGTGTTGGCAGGGCACCCCCAAGGAGCAAAGGGGGTACAGGGGCAGCCTGTCTTCATGGCCATGAGCCTGCTTTCTTTCCGTGGATGGGCACCTTCAGCCTCATGTCAGGAAATCAAACAGGCCTGGGACTGTACACAGCACTTCCCGGGCCCAGGAAAATGCCGGTGGAGACGGGGCCAGCGAGGGAAGCCTACCTTCTTGGAGAAGAGCATTTGGGTGGCATCTCCAGCCTCCTCCACAGGAGCCCAGGACAGAAGGACGTCATTGTCCTGAGGGAGGGAGGGAGGGAGAGGTTAGAGGGCTCCCCTCCTGTCTCTCTCCAAACTATATCATCAAACTTCTTCCCCGTTTTAGGCTTTCAGCTTGACAAAGCCTTGCCTCTCTCCAGTACCCCCATCCCTCACCCCCCATCTTCCTAAGGTCTCATCGCTGACAACTAGATGGTACTCCGACAGATGCAGCCTCCATCCTGCTCCGGGCCTGCCCCGGCCCTGCTCCCTCCCGGCCCACCTTCTCCACAACGCGGACGACGCCGGCGATGAGGGAGTCCGGGTCTTGATGCTTCTTGGCGCTGGTGTGCAGGTACACGCCTCCCTTCTCAAACACCACCTGCGGAAGGGGACCAGTGAGGGCGGGGCTCAGAAGGGAGCCAATGGGAGCGGACCTGGGGCGGGGCTATTCTCCGGTGGGCGGGGCCTAGGAGTGGCGAATCCCAAATACCAACAAACTAGCGAGGCGTCGGGCCGTCAGTGGGGGGAAGAGAAGGGGTGGGGGTCCAGGGGTGTGAGGGAGGGAAGAGGTCTGGATTCCAAAAGGGGCGGGGCCTAGACGCGCGTCTCAGCAGCCAGGGGCAGGGCCAGAGATAAGGGTCTTCCCCGGGGCAGAGGCGGGGAGGGCGACAGCGCGTTATCGTTATCGGGAATGGTGTCTGGGCTGGGGAACGGCGGCTCCCGGAGCGCGGCACGGCCCGACGGAGAAGCCGCCCCGCGGAGGGGGCATTCCCTCCGGACAGACGCGAAAGAAGGCCTCCGCAGAGCTTACCCTGTAACCGGCTCCCTCCATAGCCGCGGCCGAGGACCCGCTGACCCGCTCCCTCCTATTCCGGGTCAGTGTGCTGTCACGTCCGGATAGGAGACTCCCCTCAAATCCCGGAGAGTGGTAGCGCCCTTGCCTGTCCTAGGAGAGGAGTGGGTGTAACTATTTTCCTTCACGGGGTGGCTGAACTCGAACCACGAGAGTTTCAGTCACGAGGGTTTCAGCCGCTTGGCGCAGGCGGTAGAGGCGGAGCGAGGGTGCGCAGGCGCAGTGCCGCCATCCCGAACAAGAAGTAAACAAGGAGGCGGGCCCTGGAGCCCCGCCCCCTCGCCCGGACACAGACACGCCCACTCCTTCCCCCATATTGAGTGCTGGCATCGAAGCCAGAGAGGCGCCATGTTGCTTGAGGGTACGGGGAAGGACCGTCAGCTGAGGCCACGTTAATGGGGGGCAGTCTCCTTCCCTCTGCAGGGCTCGAAGCGAGGTTCTGGCAAAGAGAAACCGAGGAAGGAAAAGAAGGTGAGAGAAGCTGTACATCGGAACACTTTAACCTCGCTGAGGGATTCGGGTTAACGGGATGAACCCGTCATATCCCCGGGAACGAAGCGCTCCCAGACGAATCCACGAGTCACCACCGCCTGAGAGAAATCATTCTGGGCTGGCTGCCATATTGAAGTTGGGCAAACCGAAGCAAGAAAGGCTGGCGTGTTGGATCTTTGCCAGTCTCGGTGCCGAAGGGGATAGGCCTGAGGGAGAGCCCGTATTCATGATGGTCAGATGATACGTGTCATTTAGCGGGCATTGCTTTCTTCTCTTGTGGAAAAGGTTGATTATCACTTGAGGGACTGTGGTCCATATGCAGCCCGCCATATTTCTTGTGGTCACTCCCATCTTTCTTACGGGCACCCTGCTTCCGCCACTGCTCCTCTGAAGTCCGGTGAAGCCCCCGCGGCCGCCATCTTTGTCTCGGGCGGCCTCCGCGGAGGAGGCGGATCCGGCGTGCGGCGTGGGGGCGGGTCCGCGAGGCGGAAGTGACGCTCGGCGCTGCCATGTCTTCTGAGGGCGGCGACGGCGCCAGGCCGGCCATGCTGGCTCCGGGCACGTGAGTGGAGGCGGCGTTGTGAGCCACGGTGCGGGGAGGACCTGGCGGTCCGGAGGCGCGGGGCGCGGGGAGGGCGAGCCGCTCTGGGGAGCGATAGAGCCTGCGGATGTCAAGGGGCAGAGGTCGTCCGGCGACCCCGCGCTGAGCGCTGGAGAGCGGCCGCGGGCATGAGCCGTCGTGTGTGAGCGGAGGCACAGCCTAGACAGTCTTGTCTTCCGGTCTTCAGGTCCATTAAGATTCTTTGCCTGTGAACCTGGTCTCTAGGGTTGGGGGGTGCTGGGGCGGGGGCGGGGAGGGTTGCCTCGGGGCGCCCTCACCCGTGTGAAGGCGGGACTTCCGGCGCTGTCCCCCATCTGGGCGGGACTTCCTGTTTTCTTTCTGGAAGAGTGGGTCTTCGCTGGCCTCGGGGGAGCTGGGGGCGCCTCTGGGCCTCTGAGCGGCGGAGAAAGGCCCCCGACGTTCACCCCTCACCCCCCTCCCCGGACTACGGGTGCATCCTCCAGCCCTCCCACCTCGGAGCGGGAGGTTGGGGGTGGCACTGCTCCAACCACCTTTCACAGGTGGTTGGAGCGGGTCCATATGGCGTCTCCCTCCTGGGGGGGCTTTCCCTCTTCCTCACCTCTTCCTGGAGTCGGCTTCTTCACCTCAGAGGCCGACCCCCTTACCTCTTTCTGCCCTCCTGGGGGGGACAGGTCTCACCTCCTTTTCTCCTCTCTCCCTGATCTTAAACTGCTCCCTCTGAGGGGAGGGGTTCTCCATCTCTCAGCTCTTTGAAGGGGGCAGGACTAACTCCAGAAGCTGTAGGGACTGGAGACTCCCCAAGTCTTGGTTTCTTTCCTCGTGGGTGACTGACTCCAGAGAGTTCCCGGAGAGGGCTGCCTCGAACTCCTTTTTTGTGCATGCTCTAGGACGGGGGACCCTCCCCCCATTGCCCTCTTTGCAGCCCGGTCGTTCAGTTAAGATCTAGGACAGAGGGATTTAACCCTGGTGACCCCAGGAAGTGGGGACACCAGGCGCAGCACTGCGAGGCTGTGTGAGCTTGGACCAGTCATTTCCCAGCCCTGGGCTTCCGTTTCCACCCTCAGCGGGGCGGAGTGGCTGCGAGGCCGGAGCACCTCCCACTGCTGTTAGGCTCCTGTCTGCCCTTTCTGTCTGTGCCCCTCCAGGCCAGCGCCGGGAGCTCTCTCAGCCTCACTGTCCCCGTCTTGACTAGGAGATCGTAAACCTTTCCTCACAAGGAAGGCAGGGTGGCCTCCGGTGTTCAGAGAAGGGTTTGGCTTCAGACTGCCGGCTTCAGGCTCCAGCGCTCCTCCCCAGCTGTCCCCCCTGGTCCCCACGCAGACCCTCCCCGGGCCTCAGTTGCCCATGGAAAGGGGGTGACACAGCTCCTCTCTGTGGAGCTGGCGAGAGGGTGGGATGGTGGCACACGCAGGTGCCTGCTCCGGGGGCCCCCTGGCAGGTGCTGGCTGCCTCTCACTGTGTGGCCTCGCCAGGGGGAGCCCCGGGGCCTGTTCCACAGAGCGTCTTTATTGTCAAACCGGGTGCTTGGTTTTGAAAAACAGTCTTTTTTTAAAAATTATTTCTTTAAGTATATTTTATTGGCTGAAACCGGTTTGGCTCAGTGGATAGAGCGTCGGCCTGCGGACTGAAGGGTCCCGGGTTCGATTCTGGCCAAGGGCATGCACCTTGGTTGCGGGCGCATCCCCGGTGGGGGGTGTGCAGGAGGCAGCTGATTGATGATTCTCTCATCGATGTTTCTGACTCTGTTCCTCTCCCTTCCTCTGAGCCACACCGGTTTTGACAGAAACAGTCTTGTAGGAAAGACAGAGTCTTCCGGGTTGAACCCCGGTGCGGACGGAAGCTCGCACACCGGTTTCCGATCAGCCCCACCCGCAGGTCTGTCTGCTGGGCAAGGCCTGCTGCTGGCCAGCGAGGAGCCCAACGGCCCGCCCTCAGGGGCTCCCACAGGCTGGGAGAGGGATGGGGGTCCAGACGGTGCTCCCCAGGAGATGTGTCCTAGAATGGGCTCGCTCAGATATTGGGGAGCCCCAGAGCCAGGTGTGGGGCTGACGCAGACCAGAGGTGAGGGGAAGGAGGACAAGCACATGGCAGACCAGGGGCCACATGTGGGGAAGGCACCTTGACCAAGGCCCCCGGAGCCTGCAGGGGCTGTGACCCCATCTTAGGGATTCTGGGGGGGAGGGGCAGCTCCAGGCCAGAAGGACCCCTGCAGAGCCTGTGCTGGCCGCACGGAGGCTGGGAGGCACCGGGAGAGGCTGGATGGTCAGGGCAGCGCTGTCCGTAGAACTATGATACAGGATACCTGAGCTCACAATCCCCATAAGCCACGCCAAGTAAACAGGAAGCAGCTGAAGTTCATTTTCACCAATTTAGTCAGAGTGCCTAAATATTCCAACAAGGAATCACCCGGCGATGGCTCTCGAGGTGTTCGCGTCCCACTTGCACCCCATGTCGCTCACGCACAGCCCCTGTCACTTCGGACCTGCCGCACGGTGCTCCCTACTCCCGTGGCCGGCGGCTCCCAGGGCAGGTCCAAGGAGCAGGGGGGCGAGAGGGGGGGTTGGTGGGAGGAGGGCCGGTTGGAGGTTGAGGTTTGGTTGGGGAGGGATTGTAGGGGATGGGGTTTGGGGGGAGATGTTGCCCTCAGCTGGGACAGGCGGGAGGGAGGGATGGTGTCTGGGGACAGTGGACCCTGGGGCTGAGGGGGCACAGTCAGCCCGGCCTCAGCCCCTCCGTCCTGCTCTGCCCGCAGGGCGCGGATGGCGTCGGGCCGCCCGGAGGAGCTGTGGGAAGCCGTGGTGGGGGCCGCTGAGCGCTTCCGGGCCCACACGGGCATGGAGCTGGTGCTGCTGACGGCCGCGCCGCCCCCGCCCCCCCTCCCGGGGCCCTGCGCCTACGCCGCCCACGGCCGCGGGGCCCTGGCCGAGGCTGCCCGCCGCTGCCTCCAGGACATCGCCCTGGCCCACAGGGCCGCCGCCGCCCGGCCCCCCGGCCCCCCGCCTGCACCTCAGCCACCCGGCCTGGCAGGGAGCCCGGCCCAGCTTGCCCTGCCCAGGGAGGAGGACAAGGAGGACGAGGATGAGCTGACAGAGACGGAGACCTCTGGGGAGCGGCTGGGCGTCAGCGATAACGGAGGTGAGAGGCACAGAGCCGGGGCCTGGGCTGGCTCTGCTTGGCCAGTTGCCTGCACAGTAGGTTTTCCGGGGGAGGGTGGGACTGGCTGTCTCTGAGCCCTGAGGTTGGAGTCTCAGAGCCTGTGAGTCCTGTGACCTTGAGCAAGTCATTTTCCCCCTCTGAGCTTCAGTTTTGTTTTTGTTTTTTTGAAAATATATTTTATTGACTTTTTACAGAGAGGAAGGGAGAGGGAGAGTTAGAAACATCGATGAGAGAAATATCAATCAGCTGCCTCCTGAACACCCCCTACTGGGGATGTGTCCACAGCCAAGGTACATGCCCCTGACCGGAATCGAACCCGGGACCCTTGAGTCTGCAGGCTGATGCTCCATCCGTTGAGACAAACCGGTCAGGCCTGAGCTTCAGTTTTCTTAGGCGGTGCTGGACACAGACAGACTGCTGACTCCTGGTCTAGCCAGAGACCTGAAGCCCGGCCTGAGGCTCGCCCTGTAGAGGCTGTGGCGTTGGGGGTAGGGGAACCTCCCGAGCTGGAATCACGAGCAAAACAGGGTTTATTTCAAATCGGGATGCCTGGTGCCTATGAGGACAGGATCGGCGTTAAAGGGGAATCAGGGATGCCAGCAACAGCTGAGGAAGCCAGGGCAGGGAGCAACAGGCAGTTTTAGGGGGAATCTCGAGGTTGGATACTTCCCAGAGACTGGACTGTAACGTTAGGGTTTTGAAGAGTGAGTAGGAGTTTGCAGGGGGCTCAGTAAGTAGGAGTCACCCATTTGTTTTTGTTACTGTCAATAGCTGGCCTCCTCACTGCTGTGAGGGTTAAGGGCACAGACTGGAGCCTGAGTTCAGATGCCCTGACACCTGGATTGGCTGGGACTTCAGGCAGGCGGCTGAACCTCTCTGTGCCTTCAGGTTTCCGTTATGTCAAGCAGCAATCATAGTCATCTTATATTTCTCTCATCCCGAACAAACCTTCCGAGGGGGTGGGAATGTGAGCCACGGGCTTGGTCTGGCCCTGCCCAGGCATTAGGGGGGAGTTATTTAGATGTTTGGTCAAATACAGCAGGCTAGTTTTTTAAAATACATTTTTATTGATTTCAGAGAGGAAGGGGGAGAGAGAGAGAAACATCAATGATGAGAGAGAATCGATTGGCTGCCCCGTGTAGGCCCACTACTCCCGCAAACTATGCCCTTGACCGGAATCAAACCCGGGACCTCAGTCCACAGGCTGACGCTCTATCCACTGAGCCAAACCAGCCAGGGCAAGCAGGCTAGTTTTTAAGCTGATAATTTTGCACGGCCTGTGTGTGATGTTATAAACACCCAAATGGCCCGTGGCAGAAAACAGGTTCCCCACTCCTGCCTTCCAGACTTCTGTTCAGCCAGTTGCTTCCACCTGAGAGTGTAACAGATAGAAACTAGATCTGTTTCTGTGGATGACCAGGCAGATAACCAGCGGGTAACCAGGCAGATAACCAGTGGGTAACCAGGCGGATATAACCAGTGGGTGACCAGGCGGATATAACCAGTGGGTAACCAGGCAGATAACAGGTGGGTGACCAGGCAGATAACCAGTGGTTGCCAGGCAGATAACCAGCGGGTAACCAGGCAGATAACCAGCGGTTGACCAGGCGGGTAGCCAGGCAGATAACCAGTGGGTAACCAGGCAGATATAACCAGTGGGTAACCAGGCAGATAACCAGTGGGTGACCAGGCAGATATAACCAGTGGGTAACCAGGCAGATATAACCAGTGGGTAACCAGGCAGATAACCAGTGGGTGACCAGGCAGATAACCAGTGGGTGACCAGGCAGATAACCAGTGGTTGCCAGGCAGATAACCAGCGGGTAACCAGGCAGATAACCAGCGGATGACCAGGCGGGTAGCCAGGCAGATAACCAGCAGGTAACCAGGCAGATAATCAGTGGATGACCAGGCACATAACCACCGGGTAACCAGGCAGATAACCAGCGGGTAACCAGGCAGATAATCGGCGGCTAACCAGGCAGATAACCGGCAGATAAGCAGCGGCAGGGTGTTCGAGGCAGAGGGAATAGTAGTTCCAGAACCCGGAGGTTTGCCAGGGCCTGGCCAGTGCAGGGAGCGGGCGGGGGGCTGGAGGCGTGACCTGACTGGCCGGCCTGTCTCGCCGCGCGCAGGGCTGTTTGTGATGGACGAGGACGCCACGCTGCAGGACCTGCCCCCCTTCTGCGAGTCGGACCCGGAGAGCACAGACGGTGAGTGTCCCCGCGCCCGGGGTGGGGTGGGGTGCGGGCGGGAGTCTGGGATGGAGGGAGGCAGGGACAGAGGTGACGCGTACCTTCTCTCCAGACGGCAGCCTGAGCGAGGAGACCCCCACTAGCCTCTCCGCCTACGCGGTGCCCCCGGCCTCAGCCCTGCCCACCCAGCAGTACGCCCGGTCCCTGCCTGTGTCCGTGCCCATCTGGACCTTCAAGGAAAAGAGGACAGAAGCTCGGTCATCGGATGAAGAGAACGGGCCGGTGAGGGGCAAACGGGAGGGGGCAGGGGGAGGTGGGAAGGGTGCAGAGCCACCTCCTCCGGGAAGTCCTCAGACACGGGCGCCACAGTTCATGGGATCAGTCCTACCTCCCCCTCCCCAGGCAGTTCTCGGGCCAGAGCCATGCAGTGCTGACTATCACGGCCTCACAGCGTGCCCCACTGTCTTGCAGAGAAAGACATGAGCTGCTCTGTTTCCAGGAACAGCTCCATGTATGGAATGCATGTTGCACGCAGGCACAGGATTTTGGTATCCCCTCCAGCTGGGGAAACTGAGGCTCAGAGGGGCCTGATCACCTTCCATACGCACATCCTTGTCTGCTGTTCCTCCTGTATGATCCTACATACCCTGTTTCCCCGAAAATAAGACAGTGTCTTATATTAATTTTTTCTCCCAAAGTTGCGCTAGGTCTTATTTTCAGGGGATGTCTTATCTTTCCATGCGCTAGGTCTTATTTTCGGAGGATGTCTTATTTTTGGGGAAACACAGTATGCAGCTTCTGGGATGGCCGGGGTGGGTCATCATCGCCCCTTCACTGAAGCTCCTGAAGCAGGGGAAACCGAGGCACCGAGAGTACATGTGACTTCCTCAAGGCCTCAGTCTGTCAGGGGCAGAGCTGGGGTGGAGGCCCTGGTCCCAGGTTGACCCCTGACTCCTCAGTGGCCGCAGTCACACACTGGCGGGTCCAGCAGCGGCTGCCGCCCGGTGCACCACTGGTGGGGACACTGTTCATGAACAGCGTTCAAGGCCTGAGCTCCCGCCTGGGCTGCACTCTGAACAGGCATCGGTGGCCTCAGCCTGCTGGGGGCCAGGCCCAGCTTGGGGTGCAGGGACTAAGGGAGGTGCAGGCAGAACGACAGGACCCTCAGCTGGAGGCTGACATGGAGAGGCAGGGACCCTCCATATAGCTCCGGCCACGTGGTAGCCTGCCCTCGCTGAGCTGTCCTTGTGGGTTTTCTCAGAGGAGACTGAAGCCCTCGGGGGGCCGAGGTCCCCGTGGACAGCTAGGGGGTGGCACATGCCTGATCTCCAGCCCAAACCCTTAGAGTAAGACCCTCTGGGGGCACCCAGCCCGATGTCAGCAGAGGAGCAGCACTCCGCTGTGAGAAGGAACTGGACGCAGTGGTCCAGGCCAAGCAGGGGAGAGGGGCAGGAAGGCTTCTTGGAGGAGGTGGTGTTTGGACGGGTAGGAAGGTCCTATATGGAGCAACACAGGGTGAAGGGCCTTGCGGGTATGGGCATCGCAGGGGGAAAGTCCTCGGAGGGGCCCTGGAGCCCGGGGTGTAGGCACTGATCGCCAGGGTTGCAAGCTGAGGTGGGACACGGGGCGCCATTGAGGGTGCTGACCATCCATGCCCTCCCGCAGCCCTCCTCGCCGGACCTGGACCGCATCGCGGCCAGCATGCGCGCGCTGGTGATGCGGGAGGCCGAGGACACCCAGGTCTTCGGGGACCTGCCACGACCGCGACTAAACACCAGCGACTTCCAGAAGCTGATCCGGAAATACTGAGGCCCCGAGAGCCTCCTGGCCCGGTGTCTGCATCCTACACTACACGCCCCGCCCCCAGGCCCGCCAATCGGAGGCCGATCCCTCTCAGCCTCCCACCCCTTTCTACGCGGGGTGGGGCCAGCCCGGTGCCCACGGGCAGTCGCCCCTTTTCCTGCCCAGCGACACATGGTTTCTATTAAGGGACTGGCTTGCTCTCCAATCGGGAGTGGCTAGTTCTAAACCCTAAGTGGGTGGAGTCGCGTCGTTTTCTGCCTAGCGACAAGGGCTTTGCTCGCACGGCATTGGCTCTAACCGAAGCGTAGCCAAGGCCCAGGATTGGGTGGTGGTGCTCCGGGCAACTTCATTTGATTGGCTGGAACCCTGTAAAGGTCTACGCCAATCTGCCAGTCACCACTTACCCTTCCTAGATTCTCCTCCTGATTGGGTCCTGCCTCCTGGGGGCGTGGCCAAGCCCTTCTGTGCCCAGGATTAGCCTGTGGCCTTAAATTTAGGTTCTTGACACTACGGGGGCTAAGATCGTTTTTTTTTTTTTTTTTTTTTTTTTACTAAGTTCTGACAACTGGTCTCTGGCCTCTCAGGGACGGCCCGGTCCTGGCCCAGCGTCTGACACTCACGGGTCCGTCCCACAACAGCCTGCCAATCGGAAGCCTGTCCTTTCATCCAGGCCGTTACCAGCTCCCGCCCCGCTCCCCTTCCCCCACAGGTGCCTTAAAGGGCCCTTGTCCACCCAAGGTGGGGGGCAGGGGCCCCCGCTCTCCGGCCCTGATGTCGGGGGAGTTAGGGGGGTGGGGATCGCGAGTTAGGAGGGCTGCTCTGAGATTAAAGAGTCTTACCTCTGTTAAATGAGCTTGAAATGTGTTGTGGATGTTTATTCAACAAACTTTCTGAAGTCGAATGAACAGCATCTCATCGCTGTAAAGTCGGAAGTGGGGACTGTCCCCATTTTACTGATTAAAAAATGGACATTCATGCGGTGGGAGTCCCGTTTACCATGACCCCCGGTCTTACGGGCAGGCAGGGAGGGGGCTAAAGATGAAACCGGAATTTGGCTGAGCCGACATAGTCCCCAGCAAAGCCCGGATGCCTCCTGCACAAGAGCTGGAGTTAGAGAACCCGCGGCCCCCGGCCCAGAGTTAGGGCTGGGTCCTCAGATAGCCCCGGAGGCATGCCCTGGGCAAGACTTAAACAGGGCTAACCACCACCCAAACACATGTTATTTACGTGGATTAACTCCTTTAACCTTCCCAGTAACTCCACGAAGTGAAACGGTCATTCCCACTTGATAGATAAGAAAACGGCAGCATCGGAAGTGGGGGTTCTGTCGGGGGTAAGGGTTTCTTGGATTGCCAATGCTCATTAAACGGGGAAGAAAACTCGCTGTAACTACCAGCAAAGGGAATGAAAGAAAGTTAGACTTCTTGGTGGAAATAGAATCTGCAACAGAGGATCAGCACCCCCTACTGGCGGGAGCCTCGCACTGCAGCGAGAGGGACGGAGGTCAGCGCGGCCGGGGACCGCGGGAGCTAAAGGGCTGAGGGGGCGTGGCTTCCCCCGCGGGAGGAGCTCTGAGGCCCCGCCCCCTCGCGCAGGGCCGGGCATTTCCGTCCCGCGAAACAGGAGCCGCAGGCGGAGGGAGTGAGCGGAGCGCGGTGAGCGTCTGGCCCAGGCGGGAGCGCGCGAGGTCCTTGTCCTTTGCCCTTTGCCCTAGGACATAGGGGTCCCCGCTCCCCGAGCACCACCCGGGCGGGCGTCCCCGGGGATTCGGCGCGAGCTCTGGGCCGGCGAGTGGGTGGGATCTCCAGAGCCTTCAGCCGCGGGAGGGAATTCCAGGTGGAGGGACGGGAGGAGGCGGGACTTCCTGTAGCCACTGAAAGCGACTTGCCACCCAAACAGGCACCTGCTTGCCCTTAGGCCGGCGCCCAGGATGGCCGGGATGGAAGCCAGGGGCCACCTGTGGCTGGAGAGCCCCCCCGGGGGAGTGCCCCCCATCTTCCTGCCCACGGGCGGGCAAGCCCTGGTCCTGGGCCGGGGACCCCTGACCAAAGTTACCGACCGGAAGTGCTCCAGAAACCAAGGTAGGCAGGGGCGGGGCCCGAGCGGAAAGAGGTGTGCCCTGTTTCCGGAGCGAAAGATGCACCGTCAGTTCCCTAAAGAACATTTGCAGAGCCGGGAGGTGGAATCGTAGGGTGCGGCCGGCCCTGAGGTTGGCAGGTGCACCATTCAGGAGGAAAAGGCTGTGTCTGGCCTGGGATGCAGGCTCCGGGGCATTGTCAGCGGGCAGAGAAGGATGCTCAGGCCGCCATGAGCGGCCCAGTCAGACTGCGACCCTTGTCAAGGGGAGAGCCGATCCCATGGCGGGAAGTCCATGCTGCTGAGCAGGGGCGAGTGGTAACGGCTCAAGCCCCAGCCCTGCACCCGCCATACTGCTCGGCAGAGAAGCCAGTTCTCTCCAGAACCATGCCCGCCCCGTCCCTAGGCCAGAACCAGCGCCACAGGCCGTCCTACGGCCCTTGTCTGGTGACTGCCTGTCGAGGAGTGAGCCAAGCCCATTTAGAGATGAACGGGGCTGTAGCGCCATCCTGTGGCCTGAAGCTGGCCAGGCCCCCGGGTGATGAGGGGTGCCCTCCCACGGGGAGGCATAGCCTGACTCCACCCTCTCCACACGCAGTGGAGCTGGTCGCAGACCCGGAGGCTCGGACCGTGGCTGTGAAACAGGTACCAGTTCCTCAGCCCTGTCTGCAGGGGGGGCCGGGGAGGAGCCGTAACCCGCAGGGAGCAGGCCCGGTGGGACCTCCGGCTGGAAGGGAAGCAGGTGTTGCCCGCCTCAGTGCAGTAGCTTCTACATTTAAATTGGGCAACACCGCGCGCCTGTGACCTTTCCAACGCCCTGATTGGCGGTGCACAGGGAAGAGGCGGGGCTTAGGGATCTGAGTGGCGTGTAGAGCAAGGCAAGCCCGCTCCAGGGTTGATTGAGTGGAGGTTGGGGGGGAGGGGGGGAGCCAGTCCCAGCTCTTTTCTATTCCTTTGCAGCTGGGAGTTAACCCCTCGACTGTCGGGACCCAGGAGCTGAAGCTGGGGTCAGAGGGCTCTCTGGGGGTGGGGGACACGCTGTATTTGGTCAATGGCCTCTACCCGCTGACCCTGCGCTGGGAAGAGGCCCCCGTGCCAGAATCCCAGCCAGATACTCCACCCGGCACCCCTCCGGTGGCCCCAACCGAGGAGGAGGAGGAGGAGGAGGGGGAGAAGGAGGAGAAGGAGAAGGAGGAGGATGAACCACAGAAAAAGCGAGTGAGGAAGTCGTCCCCTGGCTGGGAGAGCTTCGAGAAGCTGCTGGTGTTCACCGCACCTGGGGTGAAGGCCCGAAGCAAGGTGAGGGCCACGCTGGGACCTGAGGGAGCTGTGTGTCCCTGGGCTGGTCACTCAACCTCTCTGAGCCTCCACTCTTCTGACCAATGGGCCTGGTAAATTCTGGGGTTGTAGTAAGCATGGGGGGATCCATGTATATCCACGCCTGCCTGATCCATGGTGACCACCTTGTAACCATAGCAATGATTGGGATTCTTTTAGCAGGAGCTATTATGAGTATTTCTTAGGTCCAGAGAGGTCCTAATCCAATTGCTGTTACACCACATTCTGAGCCCCTTTTTTCTCACCAGTAAATAGGGAGTGCACAAACACCAGGTGACAGCACTCAGCCCTCGTCTCATTTACATGGTTATTAGCCCTTCAAGTAGAGATGGTCAGGGTAGTACATGGACTCCATTGTAAACATGGGAATCTAGCCTAATTGGTATGGCTCAATGATAGAGCGTCGGCCTGCAGACTGAAGGGTCCCAGGTTCGATTCTGGCCAAGGGCACGTGCCTGGGTTGCAGGCTGGATCCCCAGCAGGGGGCGTGCAGGAGGCAGCCGATCAATGATTCTCATCATTGATGTTTCTATCTCCCTCTCCCTTCCTCTCTAAAATCAATAAAAAAATATTTTAAAAAAATTTTTTTAAAAGATGGGAATACTGAGCATGTAGGGAGAATAGGAGCCGGAAAGGGAAGGCTCCAGGCTCTGCATTCAGGCAATGGGGATGCACCTTGCTGTGCCTGTCGTTACATACATGGAGGCTCCCTGACTCACAGAGTTGGTGTGTACCAGCCTGGGAGTGAGGGGGTCAGAGGGTCACTGTTCTTTTCTCGGTGACGCCAGGTGGCCGGCTTTGACCTGGACGGGACCCTCATCACCACGCGCTCCGGGAAGGTCTTTCCCACCGGCCCCAGCGACTGGAGGTGATTAGCAGGGAAGGGGGTGAGCGAGGCTCCCTCCGGGCCCTGGGTCACCTTGCCACTTCCCTGTCCACCTAGGATCTTGTACCCAGAGATTCCACATAAGCTCCGGGAGCTGGACGCCGACGGCTACAAGGTGTGTGTGTGTGTGTGTGTGTGTGTGTGTGTCCGTGTCCCTGGCTGTGGGGCAGGCTGGGCTGGGGCATGGTGAGGGCACTGAGATATCCATCTGCTCCCCAGCTGGTGATCTTCACCAACCAGATGGGCATCGGGCGTGGGAAGCTGTCAGCAGAGGAGTTCAAGGCCAAGGTGGAGGCTGTGCTGGGGAAGCTGGGGGTCCCCGTCCAGGTACAGCTGCCGGGGGGCTGCACGGGGAGGGGCCGGGTCCCGGGTGGGATTATGGGGACAGAAACCCGCTGTAAGTGGCAGGTTTGGGGCATTGGGAGCTCTCCTGATGGTGAGGGTTGGGGGAGCCTCCTGGGGTCCTGAATGACCTTGAAGGACTTGGAGGAGGAACGGTGTCTGACCCCCCATCCGCAGGTGCTGGTGGCCACGCACTCCGGCTTGTACCGGAAGCCGGTGACTGGCATGTGGGACCATCTGCAGGAGCAGGTGAGCCAGGCCCCATCGCTCTCCTTTCCCGCGCAGCCCTGCACCCCCTGCCCAGCCTCGCGCTCGGGGTCACCAGCCGCACCCTCCTCCCGCCTCCTCGCCTTTTCACTTGGCTCTCGGCCTCACAAAGGCAGGGAGGCCAGTGATCTTCAGAGAAGTGGGCGGGTGGGTCAGGCCTCGGGCGCTCACCGGACTGACGTCCCCTCGCTCGGCCCTGGGGACGGGGAGGTCTGACTGCGGGGCCACTGGAGCGGAGGCTCCGGTGGGGGGAGGGAGGGAGCCAGGAGGGTGTAGGTTCTGACGGGCCTTCCGGGCCGGAGCCACAGGAGCCAGTGCTGGGCCCGGTGCTAGGGGAGGGGGGCCTGCCTGGGGGACCCTCTGGCCGCGGGGAGGGCTGTCCACAGGCGGCGGCGCCCTCTGGCGGCGGCGAGGGGATGAGGCGCCTGCTGCTGTGGGCACCCGTGGGTGGGCACAGGCGTGGGCGGCTCCTCAGGCTGCTGTCTGCCCCCAGGCCAACGAGGGCGTGCCCATCTGCGTTGGGGACAGCGTCTTCGTGGGAGGTAAGGGGGGGAAAGGGGGCGGCTCCGCAGGGCAGGGCTGACGGGGGTCGGACACGGGCCTGAGGCGGGTGTGCCCTCTGCCTTCCAGACGCAGCTGGACGCCCCGCCAACTGGGCTCCCGATCGGAAAAAGAAAGACTTCTCCTGTGCAGACCGCCTGGTGAGCGCCCCCAGCCCCCGCCCCACCTCCCCCCCACCAGCACCCCCCCCCCCCCCCCGGCTTCCAGCCCCCACCTAACCTTCCCTCCCCCCCCAGTTCGTCCCCCCCGCCCCCACCTAACCTCCCCCATCCCCCCTCCCCCCAGTTTGCCCTCAACCTGGGCCTGCCCTTCGCCTCCCCGGAGGAGTTCTTCCTCAAGTGGCCGGCGGCCGGCTTCGAGCTCCCAGCCTTCGATCCGGTGAGGCCCGTGGCGGGTGGCGGGTGTGGGGGGGGCGCCCGGGGAAAGCCCCCCTCATGTCTGTCCGTCCGTCCTGTCCCAGAGGACGGTCTCCTCCTCAGGGCCGCTCTACCTGCCCGAGTCCAGCTCCCTCCTGAGCTCCGACCCCGAGGTGGTGGTCGCCGTGGGATTTCCTGGGGGTGAGGCGCCCTGACCCCTGACCCCTGACCCCCAGGAGCCCTGACGCCCCTGCGCTCGCACTGACACTGCCCCCCCCCCCAGCCGGGAAGTCCACCTTCCTCCGGGAGCACCTCGTGTCCGCAGGCTACGTCCACGTGAACAGGGTGGGTCCGGCGGCCGCCCCGCCCCTCCGTCCGTCCCCGGGTGGGAGGGTGGGATCTCCCCGTCCTCTCCCTGCTGGGCCCCCCGTGTGTGTGTGTGTGTGTGTGTGTGTCCCCGGCCCGTCCGCGCTGACCTGCCGCTCCTGGGCCAGGACACCCTGGGGACGTGGCAGCGCTGTGTGGCCGCGTGTGAGGCCGCCCTGAGGCAGAGGAAGCGGGTCGTGATCGACAACACAAACCCGGACCCGGCGAGCAGAGCCAGGTGCCAGGGCCCCGGGGAGGCCCGTGTGTGTGTGTGTGTGTGTGTGTGTGTGTGTGTGTGTGGCCCGGGGAGGCCCGTGTGTGTGTGTGTGTGTGTGTGTGTGTGTGTGTGTGTGTATGTGCGTGTGTATGTGCGTGTGGAGTCCGGGAGGCCCCTGTGTGTGTGTGTGTGTGTGTGTGCGCGCGCGCGCATGTGTGCGTGCGTGTGTAGCCCGGGGAGGCCCCTGTGCATGTGTGTGTGCGCGCGCGTGTGTGTAGCCCGGGAGGCCCCTGTGTGTGTGTGTGTGTGTGTGTGTGTGGCCCGGGGAGGCCCGTGTGCATGTGTGTGCGCGCGCGTGTGTAGCCCGGGAGGCCCCTGTGTGTGTGTGTGTGTGCGTGTGTGTGTGTAGCCCGGGAGGCCCCTGTGTGTGTGTGGGGGGGGGGCCGGGGAGGACCCTGTGGGTGTGTGTGTGTGTGTGTGTGTGTGTGCGCGTGTGTGTGTGTGTGTGTGTGTGTGTGTGCGTGCGTGTGCAGCCGGGGCCCCTTACCAGCCACCGCCCCCGCAGGTACGTCCAGTGCGCCCGGGAGGCCGGCGTGCCCTGCCGCTGCTTCCACTTCAGCGCCTCCCTGGAGCAGGCGCGCCACAACAACCGGGTGAGTGCCCCCCCCCCCCCGGGTCCCCCCACATATCCCCCGTCCCCCGCTAACCGGCCGCCTCTGCCCGCAGTTCCGGGAGATGACGGACTCCTCTCACGCCCACGTGGCGGACATGGTCATGTTCGGCTACAGGTAGGCGGGGCCACGTGGGCCGGCGGGGGGCGGGGGGCGGGGGGCGGGGGGCGGGGGGCTGGGGCCGCGCCTGCCCTCACCGCCCTCTGCCACCAGGAAGCAGTTCAAGGCGCCGACGCCGGCGGAAGGCTTCGCCGAGGTCCTGGAGATCCCCTGCCGGCTGCGCCTGGAGCCGCAGCTGGAGCGCCTGTACCGCCAGTTCTCCGAGGGCTGAGCCGCCCGCCCCCCAATAAACGCCCGTTTCCTGTCAGCCTGGCCAGCACGTTGCTGGGAAGAAGGGGGGCCTCACCCCGGGGCGCACTGGGCCCCCTGAGGACGCACTGCCTCTCCTGGCGCGGGCGCTGAGGACAGGGGCCGGGGTTTTTAAAAGACTTTATTGGGGAACATACATGATGGCACTGTCTCGGGGCGCTGTCCTCCATCTCGGGGGGCAGCTGCAGGCTCCAAGGGCCCCTGCTCAGAGCATCTGACCTGGAACGGGCAGAGGGGAGACCTGGGTGGGGCCCCTGCCTGGCTCCCCGGACCCAGGGCTGCGGGGCTCTGTGGAGGGGACCGGGGTGCACCTCCCGCTTCCTTCCGAACCCGCACGCCAGGCCCAGGCCACACGCCTCTGGCCGCCACTCACCAGTGTCACCGGGGGCCTCGTCTGTGACTCCTAGCGGGGCCCAGGCCAGGGGGGCCACTAGCCCCCCATCTGCAGGGAAGAAGCGGGGTCAGCGCGGGCCAGGCCGGAGGCGGCAGCTCGCCCTCGGCCCTGCCGCCTCACCCCGCGCTGCTGCTGCTCCTGCTCCAGGTTGCGCTGCAGGACCTGCTGCTGGTTGGCGATGACACGCCGGATGCCGTTGACGAAGGTGCCCTGGTCGTGCGGGATGAGGCCGATGAAGATCTTCTTCTCGGAGGAGTACAGCAGCATGAGCACGCGCACCTCGCACGGCGCCTTGTAGGGGAAGTGCACGCAGCCCGCCTGCGGGAGCGGGGCGTCAGGGCCCGGGGCACAGCCCCCGGCGCCGGGCTCGGGCCTCAGCACGTGAGCCCAGTGCGTCCTGCTGCTGGCCCGCGGCCCCGCCACTCCCGCTCGGGGACACCGGCACCTGCTGTGGGGGCGCCACGGGGCAGGACACCCCGAAACGGGCCGGGCGCAGCGTCAGGGTCAGTGACCAGGCTGGCAGAGGCCTCACCGGGAAGGACACCGGACACCAAGGCTCCCTCACTCGGGGATGCCTGAAGGCAGCCAGGCTGGGAGGCTGGGAGGGGGGAGGCTGCCCACAGACCAGTCGGACGAGGCCGAACGTAATAAGGACCCTGGTGGGAGGGCCACGTGCTCCCCACAGTCCCCTGGCTCTTCCCTGCGCAAGGCCAGGGTCAGCAGCACAGGCCAGCCAGCGAGAGCTGGAGGACTCGCAGGTCCTCAGAGCCCGGCGGGGAGGCCTGGGCGTGTCCCCACCTCTGGGACGGACACACACACACACACACACACACACACACACACACACGCCTCCAGGAGGCGGCCTGTGGCGAGCCCAGTGCACGCCCCTCGCTGCACCTGAGCCAACGGTGACAACATGGCCGTGCCAGCGAGCGGGCAGAAGGCCAACCCGGGCACACGGGCCTGAGCACATCAGCCCCAACACAGCCGCCGCCAGTGCAGCCACCAGCCACAGGGAGGAAACTGGGCAGCGACAGCGAGGGCGCGGGCGGCCGAGGGGAGGCTGAGGCCCGCCCACAGCAGTGCCGCCGCCTGAGAGCAGACCCGGCCCCCCTGCCAGGAGCCTGGGGTTTTCCTGGGGGAGCAGGAGGGGCAGGTGAGGCCACCCCAGAGCCACGGAAACGCGGACGCAGCGGAGAGGACGGGCCAGCGCGGGGCTGCAGGGCCTCAGTCCCGCCCGGCACCTGGGGACGCAGGTTCCCATCTGTGAGGGGTCAGCACGGCCTCGGGTGCCAGTGCCTGGCTCACAGCAAATGTGCCACCAGGGGCTGCCCGCCCCTCAGCCCACTCACAAAGCCGTTGTCCATGATGCGGCACAGGCTCTTCAGCGTCTCCAGGTCCTTGGTGAAGTGGAACTGCACCAGGCGCGAGTTCCGGAACAGCGGCACCAGCGTGGTCTGCGGGAGGGCCGTCCACAGCTGCCCGGCCGCCTGCGTGCCCGCCTCACCCCACAACCCCGGGCCCCTGAAGCCAGGCCAGGCCCGCCGCCCCCAGGGGGACAGGGGGCCCTGGGAAGCCCCCACCGCCCGACCCCAGGGCTGGACGAGCGCCGGCACTCACGAGCAGCTGCTGCGGGATGAGCTGCATGTACAGCTTCCTCGGCCACTGCTCCGTCCGCCTGCGGGCACCGGGCCGGGTCAGGAGCCGGGCCCCCCCGCCGCCGCCGCCCGCCCCCCCCCGGCCCCACACTCACAGGATCTCGCCTTGGTTCACGTAGACGTGCGACGGCAGCCACCTCTTGTTCCGATTGTTGGGATCAGGCCTGGGCTTTGGGGGACAGGAACGGGGTGGCATCAGGAGTGGGCGAGGCCTGAGAGGGTGCACTGGTCCCCAAGTGAGCGGCCGCCCCAGGCTCACCTCCTGCCACTCCATGACGCCACTCCACGCCAGGAACTTGTTGTTGACGATCTGGACCGGCCCCGCCATGCCCCCGGGGCCCACCGCCTGCGGGAGACGGGGTGGGGTGGGGTGGGCTGGTGCCTCAGCGCCCACCTCCCTCCCCTCCCTGCCCCAGCCCACCCCCCAGGCCAGCCCCGGCTTCTCAGCCTCAGTCTGCCCACAGCCCCAGACCCCCCTGGGGCCGGCCTGCTCCGCCTGCCCACCGACCGCCCACGGCTCCCACGTGCCCAGGACAAGGACCAACCCCTCAGCCGGGGCACAGAGCCCACAGGGGCTGCCTGCGAACTGGCCGCTGTGAAGTGCCCCACAACCGGGGGCACATGGCTAAGAGCCTGGTCACCCTGTAGGGCCTGCCAGCCTCACACCACCCACCCGTGACCAGGGCCCCGGCCTGCCCCTCCCCCTACACACACGCACACGCACACGCCCGGCGCACCTGCTTGCGGGTGGTGATGACCTGGCGGATGGCGTTGACGAAGCCGCTCTGGTCGTAGGGGATGAGCCCCATGAAGATCTTCTTCTTGGACGAGTACAGGAGCATGAGCACCCGCACCTCGCAGGGCGAGATGTGCGGGAAGAGCATGCAGCCCGCCTGGGGGGGGGGGGGGGTCGGAGGTCAGGGACCCAGGCACTGCTGAGGGGGCCGAGTGCCCTTCCCTGACCCCCAAGCCTGCCGGCCATCAAGTCCCCAGAGTCAACTCCGAGTTCTTGACGCAAGAGGCGCACAACCGGAACACTCTGAGCGCGTGAGCCTGCGCCCGTGTTAGGAGCCTGTCTCCCACCCGGCCCCAGCCCCGCCTGTGGAGCTGCGAGGACGCTGCCGGGGCGGAGGCAGTGCAGGAGGGCCGGCTGGGACCTAAGTTACCGCGTCTCCCATGACCCGTATGCCAACAGCGCAGCCAGGAAATGCCGCCGAGTGAGATGCCAGCGCCTTCTCAGGGGATGGTGGAGAGTGTGAGGCTGACACGGCCCCACTGGGGCGTCAGACAGGGGAGAACACCTCCTGTGACACCTGCTGAGCCTGGTCCCCAGCTCAAGCCCATGGTCCCTACCTCACGGGATCTGCCGACCAGGGCAAGAGTGACCGACAGGCCTCAGAGGGCGACCCCACCGCCCTGCAGCCTGGGCCCTTAGCAAAGGGGCTGAGTGAAGGGTCAGACAGGGGACCACACAGGGGAGGGATCTGCTGGACATCGGGGTCGGGACACACACAGCACCCCCCAGGAACAGGGACTGCAGGGGACCCCAGAGCGATCCCTGCGGACGTCCAGGGAGAGGACTGGCTCCCGCGTCGGGCACCGTCTCTGAGCTGCTTCCTGACCGGCCCCTGGGAGGGAGCGGCGCCCAGGCCCAGCTGAACGGCCTGACATCCAGCCGCCGAGCCCAGCACGGCCACCTGGGCAGCTGCCGGTCACTGAGCACTTACTCTGCACCCCCTCAGCCACGTGACAAGACTCAGGCCTCCCACTGGCCCCTGGAAAAGCCCTCCTGTTACCCCACGTACTGATGAGAAAGCCGAGCCCCAGCACAGACCAGTCTCTCCTGGCTCACTCCCCTGGTCACCCCATTACCGGTCCCAGGACCCACAGCCCGGGGAGCCACCGAATTTCTGAGACCTGACGACAGACAGGCCGAGGCGGCTCCCCGCACCCTAGGAGAGCTCACGGGGGTCCCGGCAGAGCGGCCACCACAGCGCCCGGAGGAGCCCTGCCGCCCCCCCCCGGCCCCCCGCACTCACGAAGCCGTTGCCCATGACGCGGCAGAGCCCCTTGAGGGAGTCGCAGTCCCTGTTGGTGAAGTGGAACTGCGCCAGCTGCGAGTTGCGGAACAGGGGGCCCAGCGTGGTCTGGGGGGACAGGGACAGCTGGGTCACCCTGGGGTGGGTGCTCTGGGGAGCAGGCTCGGGGGCTGGGGCAGGTCTTACCAGCAGCTGCTGAGGGATCAGCTGCATGATCAGCTTCTGTGGCCACTGGTCGGTCTCCCTGTGGGAGGAGAGGTCAGGGGGCTGGCCGCCCGGCCACCAGCCCGCCCCCCACTGCCTGCGGCGGCACTCACAGGTTCTCGCCCTGGTTCACATAGGCCTGGCAGGGGAGGGTCCGCTTCAGCTTCGCGGTGGAGTCAGAGAAGGGTCTGCGCTTCTGTGGCAGGAGAGTCTCGCTCAGAGGGCAGACCCACGGGAACCTGGGGCACCCCCACCCCTGGGCGCGCCGGCCCGGACGCTCACCTCCTGCCACTCGAGGACGCCGCTCCAGGCCAGCAGCTTGTTGCTGAGCCGGTGCTCGCCCACCGCCAGGCCCCCGAGGGCCAGGCCCGGCGACGAGGGCCCGATGGGGCCCAGGGCCCCGAACACCCGGGCACCTGGCTGCGGGGGAGGAGGGACCACTGAGCTGGCTGTTCCCCCGTTACCCCCAAGGAGCCACCCCAACGTTCAGACCCAAACGTCCCGCTCACAAACACCCAAGCCCCTGTCCCCTGGGCTGAGACCTGCCTGGCTACCCGTTCGCCCCCAGCCCTCACTAACGGCCTGTGCGAGGTGGCCACCAGCCTCCCCCCCCACCCCCCGCCTTTCCCGCTGGCTCAGCCGGGAACACCATCGGCCTCCCCCTGCGCCACCCACTCACCCTCCCAGCCTGAGCCAGTGGATCCCTCTGCTGAGACCCAACTCGAAAGCCAGCTATCTGGGGCCGGGGTCTCCATGGAGCCCCGCCATGCACAAGCCGACCGGGACTGTGTCTGTCAGTCTGTCACACTGGCTGCCCCATCCTGCCCACACTCAACGCCTTCCTTCCGAAGCTCCTCATGACTAAGTCCAGACTCTCCTCGTTCCTACCAACCTCTCCCGCGGCTGCTGCCGCCCCCCCCTTTCTTCCCTCATTCCCTCCTTCCCTCCTTCCCTCCTTCCCTCCCTCCCCCCGGCGCCCCAGGTCGCAGCCATGTCAGGCTGACCCGAGGCGGAGGCCGGGCCAGCGCACACAGTACAGAGCGGCGCAGGGCATGTGGAGGCGGCAGTGACGACACCTGGAGGGTCTCAGAGCTGCGGGTGCAGAACACAGAATGTTCCAGCAACAAAGCCCAGCAGAGGGTCCTCCCAGCCACCTTCACACCAAACACATCGCCAAGCAAACACATCGCCAGGCAAGCAAACACGCGAAGGCTTCCCAACAGCCCCCAGCCCCGCGGCGGGGCCCCCCGACATGACAGAGCTCACTCCCTCGGGGCTGGGCAGCCAGATAAGCGAGTGAATAAACCACAGGCTGTGCCTCTACCCATCGCTCGGGCGCCAACTTCCCCACGAAGCGCACAGGTGTCCTCGCCCTCCAGTAAGGCGGCCAGGAGCCTCACTTAGGAAAGGGCTTTAAGCAGCAAACCCGCCGGAGCAAGCTGCCCTCCCTCTGGGCAGCGGCAGGGGAGGCCTGGGGCAGAAGGGGGTGCTCCCGGCCCAGTGTGTCCGAGGGGGGAACCGGGGCTTCGCGAGGTGCGGCGCCAGCACCCGGCCGGACAGACCCCGGGACGTCGGCCAGTGTGGGCGGACCTGGGAGGCAGGGGGACCAGCCAGGACCCAAAGGGGCTTGGTCGGGGGTGTGAAGGCCAGGGGGTGGCTGCCGAGCCAGGAAACCCGCAGCAGCAGGAGGGGCAGGCCCAGGCGAGGCGGGGCCCCCTAAGGGAACCTCACCTCTGGGCAGGTGTTTGCAAAACTTAGCTCCGGCCCCGCCATCTGATTTGCTCTTTGTGCGCCGGGAAGCCTCGCCAAACGCGAAAGGGCGGGGGCTTCCTGGGGGGGGTGTTAGGGTCCAGAAGGGCCCGGGGACGCTGGTGGAAGAGGGGAGGGAGGCGGTGGAGGAGTTCGCGGGGTGTCCCGAGTCTGGGTGTGGGACCGGAGGAAGCCTGTGCGCCTGGCGGGGCCGTGGGGCCGAGACGCGGGTCTGCGCCCAGCGGCGGGCAGAGCGCACCTCCGCGGGGTGCGAGGTGGGGCGCGCAGGGGGCGCCAGAGCAGCCTCGTCCGGGTTTTGGAAAGTGTGTGCCCGTCTTGGGCCGGGGCTCCGTGTGCCCGCGCAGCGCGGCGTTTGTGCTCACGGTCCGGGCGGCACGACGCCCCCGAGGGCGACACCTGGGCGCCGGGGCAAGACGCCCCCCTGCCGCCTGCACCCCACTTCCTGTCCGGAGAGGGGCCAACTTCCAGCCGCAAAACACGCGCGCGCCCCCCACCCGCGGCCAAACGCGGCGGCGGAGCCAGCGGTAACCTGAGCCCGGCCCGCCCCTGCCACCCCCGTCCCCCGCCACCCCCGTCCCCCGCCGCCGCCGCCCCCGTCCCCCGCCCAGCCCCACCCCCGCCCCCGCCCCCCACTCCCGCTGCCCCCGCCGCCCCCGCCGCCCCGGCAACAAAGGGGAGAGCCGGGCGCGTACCACCGAGGCTTCCACGGGGGAACGCGGCCCCGGGCGGGACCACCCTTGGGGCCCCCCGGGAGACCCCAGAGGAGAGGGGGCGGCGGACAAAGGCGGGAGCCGGGGGCGGGGCCGTGGAAGGCTCTGGAAAAAGGGCGGAGGGGGCTCACCATGGGAGGGGCCGAGCGGGCCCGGATCCGCGGCGGCTGCGGGCCCCGGGGGCCGGCGGGCCAGGAGCGCGAACGGGCGGCGCGCACCGTGAGGGGCCGCGGGGGGCGGCCGCGACCCCCGAGGGGGCCCCCGGCGCCGGAGCGGTGCGGGGCGCGGCGCGGGCGGACCATGACGGGTGCGAGGCGAACAGGCCGTGCGGACGCCACGGGCCGCGCAGGGGGCTGCGGGCTCCACCGACTGAGGGGCGCGAGGGGGCGGCTCTCGGGGAAGCGGGACGGGCCGTACCAAGCGCGGGGGCCGCGCCGCCGGAGAGGGGTCGTCGCGGCCGAACCACTGCGGCGGGCGGGGGGAGCGCGGCGCGTACCAAGCGCGCCGAGGGGGCGTGGCCGGCGTGTACCAAAACGTGGCGGGGGGGCTCCGGGAGCGAGAGGGTGTGTCGGGCGCGGAACGAGGCGATTGGAAGACACACGGGGCCTCCAGCGAGGGCGGGAGGACCCGAGGGAACGGGTGGGAAACCACTTGGGGGGGGGGGGGGGCCTGGCGGAGTCTGTACCAACGGGTGGAGGGAGAGTCGATAAACGTAGAGGACGATACCAAGTTGGCTCCGGGGGGGGTTGGGATCCGGGAGATTTTAGCCGGAGTCCCGGACCCGCGAAGGCGGGGGACTGCGAGAGATTCCAGGGGAAGAGGAAGGAAAACCGGGCTTTCGGCCGAGGGAACCTACCTAGAGGTTTGTTGATACGGACCGTACCATGCACAAGGGGAGGACTTTAGGTTTGGAGGCCGTGACGTGGCTAGGTCGGCAGACCACAACTCCCAGCGGCCCCAGCGCGGCCATCTGGGCCGGGGGAGACGGTGGGCCGCAGCTGTGCGCCCATTGGCCCCGCTCCCAGGCCCCGCCCACAGCCCTCACGCCTCGGCAGCGCCTCTCCTCGCAGCCGCCCCGCAGGACCATTCATTGATTCCCTCCTTCATTCAGGTAAATGGCTGCTTGTTCACTTGTTAGTTGTGTAAGATTTCTTGCTTCAGTTTCCCTGTGTGTGTGTGGGGGGGTGTTATACTCACCCGAGGATATGTTTATTGGTTTTTAGCGAGAAAGGGAGAGAGAGAGACATGGATGTGAGAAACATCGATCAGTTGCCTCCCTTACGACCCGGGATCTAAAGGAAACCTACGTATGACGACAGACCAGGTCTGTCACAGAGCCCCTAGCCCGATGGGCAACACACATCGCCATCGTTCTTGATGTGTTAAATAGAACAAGTGCACAGAGCGGGGGATGGTGACCATGAGAAGCCAGGAAAGTGACCTCTGGGCAGCCTGCGGTTCTACCTCGGCTGGAAGAGCGTGCTGCGAAGAGGGAACAGGATGCAAATCCAAAAAAGGGAGGCCATGGGGGGGGGGGAGCACAGTGAGGGGGGGGGCAGCAGTGGAAGCTGAGAGGGTCCCTGTAGCCTTGGGATTGAATTTGGATTTTAGTCTCGTTTTGCTGGGAAATCACCAAAAGATTTCAGGCAAGGGAATGACAGTCTCACATTTAAAAAAAATCATTCGTCGGATGCAGAGCCATGCACACAGTGTCAGTACAGACATACAGAAGCTGGGATCCACAGTCAGCTCTGAGGAGACAGGGCAGCAAATTGGGAGTGGGAGGGGGCACAGCAGTGGGAAGGAGACTCAGTGTACTATGTCAGATGATTTGAAGTTTTGAACATATGTAGGAGTCGCCTATTGAAAAATAACTTTTGAAAGTTTAAAACCTTTTCAGGGACCCCTCTGGCTGCTGTGTTGGAAATAAGATTGTAGGGCATGAGTGGAAGCGGGAGGGCAGGAAGGAGACTGGCAAGAAACGGGGCGAGCCCTGGCCAGTGATGCTCAGTGGCTAGAGCGTTGGCACCAAAGGGCTGCAGGCTTGATTCCCAGCATTCCCAGGCAGGGCACGTATCTGGGTTGCAGGTTTGATCTCTGCCCCATTTGGGAAGCTTGCAGGAAGCAACCAATCACTGTGTCTCTGTCTGTCACATCAATGTTTTTCTCTCTCCCCCTCTCATCCTCCCTCCCACTCTCTCTAAAATATCAACGGAAAAAGTGTCCTCTGATGAGGGCTGAATAAAAATAATCCAGGTGATCGGAAACTTGGCATGGGCTGGGTGGCAGGCAGGCTAGCCACAGTGGAGGTGGTCATTGTCACAACTTATTTTCAAGCCGGAGCCCACAGGACTCGTGTAGAGAGAGAAAGCGGGGGGCAAAGGTTTTTGCTGTTCAGAGGTGTCTGTTAGGGAAAGGGAGCCGACTGCAGGAGGAGCAGGTTGGGGAGGTGGAGGCGGGAGGCAGAAATCCCTGCGTGCGTTTGAGATGTTGACTAAGCAATGCAGACAGAGGGAGGAGATGCAGCAGGGCGTCCTGGGCTCTGAGTGGAGAATGAATGGGTACACAGATCACGTGTGTGGATGGAGACTGGGACACCACATCCCCTTAGAGGTTGGGCCCTGACACAGAGGAGAGACCAGTCAATTCAAGAAGCCCCGCTTAGTCCTCTTTCCACCCCTGCTTGCCCCATCCACTGAGCCACCCGCCCAAGGATTGCCCAGGGCTAACTGGAGCCCAGCCCCAAACGTGTCCTGGATTGCGGCCAAATGGGGAGACAGGGATCCCTGAACCCAGACTTCAAATTCACCAACATGCACCTCCAGAGCCCCGCTAACCACTGTGTCAGGACACCCAGCTGCTGGCGGCAGGAGAAAGGACCCTGACCTCCCGAAATCCCCATTTGTCACATTCTCTCTGGTTCACGCCAAAGATCTCTTGCCAGGATGACAGTCTGCTAGCCTTGCCTCTCACAGCATTAACAGAAACACTCCACTGGCCTCCCAATGCCCGTTGAGCTAAACACACACTCCTCACCGCAGCCCGAGGCCCAGCACCTTCCGCCCCTGCTGCGTCCTTCCTGCTCTCCACCTAGCCCGTGTCTCCCATCCTTCAGCTCCCATTGGCACACACACTGCCAGGGCTGTCTGAGCAGGAGAACGGTGGGCCAGGACTCGCTCCAGCATGACCAAAAGGAAAGCATGCCGGGATGAGACGTGAAGACGCAGGCTGAATTCCACAGGGAACACTATAGCACGGCTCCCGGGGGCCACCTTGCTTACCCAGTGCGGCAATTTGAAAGACACTGTTCGTGTCATCTGTGAACCTGGGGCCCAACTAGCAGGCTGTTCTAAGACAGGCTGCATGCTGCCTAGGAGTAGCTGTCTGTTAGCAACCCTGTCTGTGGCAGTTGTTCCTAAGTTAATAACTTAGTCCTGGCAAGCTAATTATAATATTAACGTGGGAACTGTTTATATGCAAACCAGGTTGCCTGAATTGGAAAGGGTAAAGGTGACTTGCTTAAAAAAAAAAAAAAATGCTGCCAAAACCGGTTTGGCTCAGTGGATAGAGTGTCAGCCTGCAGACTGAAAGGTCCCGGGTTCGATTCCGGTCAAGGGCATGTACCTTGGTTGCGGACACATCCCCAGTATGAAGTGTGCAGGAGGCAGCTGATCGATGATTCTCTCTCATCGATGTTTCTAACTCTCTACCCCTCTCTCTTCCTCTCTGTAAAAAAATCAATAAAATACATTTAAAAAAAAAAATGATGCCACATTCACTGCAAGCAAAGCAACTGTGAATGATTGAACAGAAAAGCTCATAAAAACCCAGGAAGACACAGCCTTCGGTGTGCTTCTCCTGAGTGTCTTTAGGTGCTCAGGTCACTTAAACCAACCAACCAACTCTGGAAAAGATGCCTCCTGATTTGTGGGTCCAGCTTAAATTAATATGTTGCATGGTAACTGGAAAACCAATTCTGAAAAGGTCTTAGTCCTACCTAGACAGGTCTGTTTCCATGTTCTTAGTCAGATGGAAACTAGTCCACTTCCTGAGGCCACTACGGTTGCGTGGGGTCGCGGGATTGATCCGGGCCAGTGAGATCTGAGCACAAGTGACCTGGGCATTCAGTCTGGCGCTTTTACTCCTAGGCAACATTTGAGATCTTTCGGGCAGAAGTGAGACCTCTACCCAGCGAGAGGGAGAAAACCCATCTTTGCGATGAGGAGCCACTGCCAGTTGCAGTCTGGGAGTTGTCATTAGAACATAACCCAGCCTGCCCGATACAGGCGCGTCCTCCTCCGGCAAGCCCATCTGGCCAACTTTTGTTGAATCAAATCCACTAGAGCCCGAGTTCACCAGAGCGGAAACGGAGGTCATGTAGGTTGGGTGTGTATGTGACTTAGACAGGAACATGAAGACAACATGGACAAGCGTGTGGAAAAGGCCTATCCATGCCTTGGGTTTCCCGTTTTGTTTTTTTCAATTACCGTATTTTCCGGCGTATAAGACGACCCCCTAATTTTACAGTTAAAACATAGGTTTAGGCCTATATTCGCTGTATAAAACTATCCCCCCCTTCCGAGGCAACACCAGTTCTTTTTTTTAATAGACTCTGGCCAATCTGAGCAAGCTTTTTACTAGAACACAGTGTAGCTTCGGGTACAGAACATGTATAATTTGCATGCATAAAAAGCCTGCTTGGATTGGCTGAGTTAGAGAGGCGGTCCGAGCAGCCTTGCAGTGATTGGTGTGGGATAGAGTTGGAAAATTCGTTTAGCGGCGCCGAAACCGGTTTGGCTCAATGGATAGAGCGTCGGCTTGGGGACTGAGAGGTCCCGGGTTCGATTCCGGTCAAGGGCATGTACCTTGGTTGCGGGCCTATCCCCTGTAGGGGGTGTGCAGGAGGCAGCTAATCGATGACTCTCTCTCATCGATGTTTCTAGCTCTCTATCTCTCTCCCTTCCTCTCTGTACAAAAATCAATAAAAATATATATATATATTTTTTAAAAATTCGTTTAGCGGCATATCGAGATGTTTTTCGGGATATACTCGGCGTATAAGACGATCCCCGATTTTCGGTTGACTTTTTTTTGTTTCAAAAGTCGTCTTATATGCCGGAAAATACGGTTCAAAATAACGTCTAACACAGCGGTCGCCAGCCTTTCAGATCCCGCGGAGCACCGGGTGGCGACCGCCGGTCTAAGGTCTGGCTGATGCACGCTCTCCAAAAGCTACATATTCTTTCCTAAACTTTCTCATCACTAAGAGGGGTCACTGGGTGTGACTGGGAGCTTGGGAAGG